TTTTTTTTTTTTTTTTTTTTTTTTTTTTTTTTTTTAAGAAAGCCCAGGTTGTTGTAGGGGTGGGAGAGGTTTTGAAAAGGATGCTGGACCTCTTTTCCAGCATAAGCTTAGACGAAGATTGAAGATTGAGCTGCTTTCCAGTAGAAGCCGAGGATGTGTAACGACGTCACTACTACAGGGTGGAATGTTGACATCGCGGGAGCGGCGGGACCCAAGATCTTGTTCTTTGTTTCTCCGTGCTCATTTTGTGAAAAAAAAATGGACCATTTCGCAATTTATGCGTATCATCCTTGCACAGGTACCATGTTACTCCTGTCTGTGTCGATACCTTTTTTTTTTTTTTTTTTTGAGCAGTGTAGTGCTCACAAATTAAAACGTAGACGATTTCTCGATTACGCGTGTCATCCTTGCACAGGGAGCATGCTAATCTTCATTCTCTGTATCGCTCGAATTTTATCGGATGTCCCGTTCACGGCTTTTCTGGAGGGTTTATGAGTCAGGCTGAGGATCGTTGTGCCGTTATGTATGTCTCCAAACGATGGCATAGTCTGAGAGAGATGCATTCACTTTCTTTCCCCCTTTTCTCTTGTCTTGGGGAGATGCATTTCTTTCGGACTGGGGGGAGGGAGAAGGGGATCGACAAACCGGGAGGGCAGGTCTATTACACCTGCGGCCTGCCTGAAAAAGGCAGCATTTATTTGGTAGAGCGCCGGAATTGGATATTGCAGGTAAATCAATAGGTGCGGGACTGGACTAGGCTTAACTTAATATCCCCCGTGCCCTTCACCTTAGCACAGCCAGCCTGGCCGATCTCGCACGCGGCACACCGTCTGCATGTCACTGCCGTCATCTTTGCTTGCTACGTGGGAACTAGCATGAGGTAAAAGGTTTTGCGACGACGTATTTCTACACCTACTTTTCAAGTTATGGATCTTGCGACCAAAGCCGGCATCTCTCTCTCTCTCTCTCTCTCTCTCTCTCTCTCAGACACACACACACACACAGAAACGCACACACACTCACAGAGTCTGTGTGTGTGTGTGTGTGCGTGGGGGTCTTTTGGCGTGTCGTCCCTGAAACACGTGTCGGGTCTATGCCTTTTGTTTTTCACGTTCATAGAGTGCTGGTCGCTGTGCACGCGTTAGATATCTTGGAATGTACTTGAACTCGGAGATTTGATCATCATTTTGTCTATTCTCCTCGTTTGTCCTTCTCCTTTCAATCTAGTTCCAGTGACTGGATTGATATCTTGTTATCTTCCTTTCAAACCTCACGCAAGCCACTTCGGAGTTACGCAACTGCAACTCAAGAAAAGCCGGGTAACTGTGACAGACGACGTCATGGGATAAACGGGGGAAAGCGCCGGCGGCAAAACCTTCCGCGGGGGCGCTTTCCACCAATTATATCCTGTGTGATCGTACTCTGATCGTCTCAGCAGCCGGTTGAACCTCGACGACACTCTTCTGGGATGCATTTGATCTGTGTGTGTGTGTGTGTGTGTGTGTGTGTGTGTGTGTGTGTCTGTGTCCGTGTGTGTGTGTGTGTGTAAATTTATTGGTAGTTGCGGAATGGTTCGTTAAGAGAGAGAATCATTAATAAACTATTATGCCTACAGATAACTGATGATCGGTCCTTTTCTACCATTTTTTGCGCAGGGCTTACCACCGTCCAGAGGTCACGCGCTCTGCAAGACCGTTCTTCCCCGCATGCAATCATCGGTCCACCATGCACAGGCGTCATCGTGTGGTACCCACTCGAGAAACCAGATGATCAGTTTCTGGTTTTCCCCGTAATCGTGCTTCACTCCCGGCTGGTTCCCTCAAGCTCGTTTGAAAGAGCATGTTGTTTGTGACACTTCCAAGGTCGGCATGTGAAGGACAGACAGCAAATTGATCCAGCCTGTCAGGGAGTTGTGCGGAACTATGATTCCCTATGATGCCCTGCAGGTGTGTGCGTGATGCGTGTGTGTGCCCTCAGGGCCTGTGCGTGTGTGTGTGCCCTGTGATGGATGATGCGTGTGTCTGACTGCCCTGTGATGTGTTTCAATCACACACACACACACACACTAGATTTCCTACAGGTTAGCTGGGAGATGGGTACGGACTGGTAGTTGTGTGGCTGGCGTTGGTCGCACGGTTCGACTGCAGTGGTATGTAGCGGAGGGAGGGGCGGGAAAAGGGAAGAAAGGCGTGGAAAGGGGAAGTGGTCTCACTGCTCCGGGCTTAGCAAAAATCTTCTTGTGTCAAGCAAGACATGCTATAGATTTTTTTTTTGACAGATTCGTTATATAGGCCTACAGACCTGAATGATAACATAACTACGTAGCCGGAGGCGTTTCCGTAGACGTCACATGTATGGGTATATGCTATAGATTTTTTTTTTGACAGATTCGTTATATAGCCCTATAGAACCGAATGATAACATAACTAAGTAGCCAGAGGCGTTTCTGTAGCCGTTATATGTATGGGTATACAAATATTTAAGAGGCTCAAAGTCGTTAGACGTTAGGTTCCCGTTCATAATCTTCACTTGACGGCCGAATCTGACCGACCGTGAAAAATCCGAAAAGAAATGGCCGTCCTTACGTGTTCCTGGTCTTCATGTCGTACATTATCCCTCGTGCCAGGCTCCAAAGGGCTTGCCTTTCTCGTGTTATTCAGCATGGCTACGGCGATTGCAATGCATGCCAGTATCGGACACGAGCAAGTGTCGAGGTCCCACCGGCTATGGCGGTCCTTACAGATGGAGCCTTCTGCTGACATGGACGGTTCTCCGCTTCCGTCGGCGATGGCAAACGACCCTGACCACAGGAGAGAATTGCTCATTATTACGGCCACGCATCTGGACAGCTCGCTCCTCGCTCTACAAAGGGATGTGCTCTACAATTTTCCTTGCGCAGGGTGTTACATCCCGGCTCTCCTTCTGTCTCCCGATGACAGCACCTTATTCTTCTCGCAGCAATTAGAGCAAAACAGGAGTTTTATAATAAAAGCGCATCCCATGTCATCCTCCTCCCCGTTGTTGACTAATCTCACATCCCTGGGAGGCGATGGTCGGTCATACGCTGCAATTGAGACTTCAGCGAACAGCAGGTGGATCCTTGCGAGCGCCAGCGATGGCGGCGGCATTTGGAAAGTGGACACGGCCCTTGGAATGAAGGCAGATTTCATTCCGAATGTCACTTCTCCGGCCTACGGGATGGTCATTCATCCAATCACACCAACCATCATTGCGGCCGTGTCGCCTTCCCGTCTTCTCACGATCCCTCTCGTCGAAGGACCCCTTCCGTATTCTGAAGAAAGCTTGCTTCTTGCCGGTGGGATGGAAACCGGATTTGCTTCACCCTCCGATAGGTCGCAGGTTCGGTTCAATCATCCGCGCATCAGTCCACGATCCATTTCATCCGACGGCAATTTCCTGTACGTTGCCGATACGAACAACTTGTCCGTGAGGCGTGTGGCAACGGACACTGGCGCTACTACCAACCTCGTCCTCACTGCATTCAACACGTCCTACGATGTTCCTCATTTCCCCTTATCCACAGCATTGACGTCAGATGACTGCAACCTTTTCGTCGCCGGAAAGGTCGCGTCTGATGATAGTATAATCATCAGACTGCTCTCCTTTGATGCTCCAAACGGGAGGGTGGCTTTCAACAAAACCGTGGCGACCATCAAAGACAGCTCTTCGGCGTCTTTGCCTGATCTGATGTCGCCTGCGATGAAAGAATCGTCTCGTCTGTTACTTAGTAGGATGGACAAATACTTATACCTCAGCACACCCAACGGCCACATTTATGAATTTGAAGTCAACCGCAGCGCGCTGCACAAATGCAGCGCCTTCGACCCATCAAACCCCCCCGGATTCCACCACTACGGGTCTTTCGATGTCGCACCCTCTCCTTCTTCTGCTGAGAGCAGCGAGGTACCTCTCTCCTCTTCTTCTCCTTCCTTTGCTAGCGGTTCTTTTTCGATGTCCTCTTCTTCACCGAATCCTTCTTCCCCAGTTCCTTCTTCGTCGTATCCTTCTTCCTCAAATCCTTCTGTCCCGGATCCTTCTTCCTCAGTTTCTTCTTCCTCATATCCTTTTTCCTCAACTCCTTCTCCCTCGAATCCTTCTTCGTCTGGGGATCCTTCATTCACAATTCCGTCTTCCCCAAATTCTTCTTTCACAATTCCATCTTGGCCTACTTCTTCCTCCTCGAATCTTTCTCTGCCGAATAGCAGGACAAAACTCATCGTGGGCGTCACCTTTGGAGTTGTCGGCGGTGCCATTATGGTGGGCCTCGTTGCCTTCCTACTGTTCAAGTATTTTAGATTGCCAAGACACCCTGAAAACCCAGCAGCTCCACCAATCGCGCGTCCCATTCCAGTACGTGTGCCTCCCCCCAGGGCCCCCAACAGATTTGGAATAGCAGCGGATCCCGTTCGATTGATTGGTTTGGTTGATTGATTGATTGATTTTCTTTGATTGATTTTTTCTCTCTCTCTCTCTCTCTCTCTCTCTCTCTCTCTCTCTCTCTCTCTCTCTCTCTCTC